GAAGTCAGGGTCCTTAGGAAGGGTTCAGTGTTGGAGTTCGTAGAAATGGTTAAAGGCTGCAGTTCAGAATATCATTGTCAGTGGTATTTTAAGATTCCCCCACGCCTCCTGCTGTGATGAGCAAGATCAAGGTGTATGTGCTCTCTGTCTGAAGCACTGAGCAGAGGAGGGAGTGTGGCTTCCCCACAGGGGACCATTGCAGCGTAACGTTACTCGTAGATGCCGAGTGGAGTTGAGGAAAATACTTTTTTAAAAAATTGGGGGAGATGTAGGAGCTCTGTGCCAGCATAAATCTTATTTCGCTGTTTCATAGACCCAATATTAGTGAAGGTAGGATAGTGACAGGAACAGGAAAGAGCACCTTACTAAACGTAAATGAGGATCGTGCTTAAAAGCAATAAAACCTGTAATGTAACTGCTTTCTTGTTATGAGATTATACCAATATTCTCAGGTACTCGCCGCGCAAGCACGTTTTTATAGTTTAACGTGGGGTTCCTTTTCAGAAGGAAACTGTTTTGAGAGGTTAGGCAAATCCACTCACTTATTTGGAGTTAAAGACTGTGGCGTTACTATGCAGATATGTAAGCAGAAGGTAGTAGAAAAGACTGCTAAGAAAGAAGTATTTCAGAATAGATTGCGCTTCACGTTGAAATTTAGATTTCAGAATTTGTGTCCCATTACAGCCCCCGAAACAGTGTAGTTTCTTTCCACTTCACATCGATCCTATGAAATCCAATGTTGCCTTCTTACCCGTGTGTCTGTGTATAATGTCTGTATATAATAAATTGTAAAGGCCATTACCAGATAAATCTTGTACAATTAATAGTAAATAAACAATAAAACGGGACGTCTTCTCTTTGGTCTTTAGTGTGTGCTGCTTGCAAACGAATAGCATTGTTTCCAAAATTTCAGACACTCGTATCCCCAAATCCATTTTCTGGTAGGATGTTTTACGGAATTTTCTCATAACTACTGAGTGATACGAACGGAATATATCCTGCAGATTTCCCGGTTGCCCCGCCACCCTGTAGCGTTCCTCCTTTGAGTTTGTGAAGATGTGGATTTTTATTTTTCACTGTAGACGATCGCAGTAGCCCCAATTTCTTGATTTTAAATTACAGTTCCTTGCAGTGGCATTATTCCTATCGAATTAAAGTTTCAGCACAATGTGCAAAGCGACATTTGATCACTCCCCCCCCCCAATATTCTGAATTGCCCTAAGCCTGAAACAAGGGAGCGACAGAGATTTGTCATTCCTTCTCCCGCCCTCTTTCCCACAAATTGAAGGGCACCCACGAGGGTTTTGTGGATTTCTCCTGTCCCTGTTTTGCGGTTTGAAAAGTGTTTTCGGCGGGTTGATCACCAGTTGCTTCGAACAGGTGCCACCTCCTTCTTCTCTCCCGCCGACCCGTTCCTCTTGACACCGAGAGCCGAGTCTGGTTTTCTCTTTGGGGAGGGAAGAAACACCGAGCTACCTAATTCGGAGGATGCTGAATACGACCGTCTGTGGACCCAATAATACAGAAGCCCATCTAGGCAGAACAGTTGCCTTGAAAAAGCGCTAAGACGACGCAAGAGAGGCTTCGCTATCCTAAACCGACTTGCTAGGGAGTAAGCCCCGTTGAGCAGAGCGTGACTTGGAGTAAATTGACATTGCGACCCTATTATCTGCTGAGCACGTTATCAGTTAGATCCCCGCGCAGCGCTGGAATATTAGTAGCCTAAATTTTTTTCTTGATCTTTAAACACGCGTTAATTCTCTGCTGCTTGGTTTCGAGGGATCAAATGGTCAAGAACAGCGTGTCTTGGATTTTAGCACCTGGAGAAGGACCGAGTTGGGGGGGAGGAATCCATTGAAAAAAGACACGGGTTTACATTGCTGGGAAAGGTTCTGGGCCAGAGCGTAACCAGGAGTCACCGCCGCGCTTCATTTTCCTTCACTCCAGCCTTGGGACCACGTCACAGCCCGAACGATGGGATCTGCGTGTCCTTCGAGCTGCTGCCCCGTTAGTTTTCTTTCACGCGAGATGGTGGGGACAGGGCCAGCGCTAGCCCTGCGAGCCAGTCAGCCCTGGCCGCCCCCACCGTCTCCTAGGGCGGGGCCGATGACCTGAGTCCTGTGGGGAAAGGCAGCCTCCCTCCCCCTGCCCTCCCCTCCGCGCCGCGTCCCCTTCCGCGCTCCCTGCTTGGCCCTTTCCGCGCTAGTGCTGCTGCAGCAGCAGCGCCTTCACCTTGACGCCTTAGAGACCCCTGCCGGGCATCAGCCGCCTCGAGCAGCGCCGGCCTTGGAGCCCACAAAGTGCGCCCCCCCCACACACACTAGGCTGCTTCAGCCTCCCCTGAAAAGGACCCTTAGCCCGGAGGGCCAGCCTTCCTGCAGTCCCCAAGACTTCTTCCCAGGGAAGCCGGCGCGGTCGGGGACAACTCTCTCCCTCTCT